AACTTTCTTCCCCTCATCACTCAATTATTTTCTTCTTCAATATTTTATGACAAAGAAAAAGAGGTAATTCATTTCATGCTCCAATATAGTAGTATATGACATTCTGTTTCTATTGGTCATGCATTCATCCATTTGCAATGCAATATGAACAAGTAAAAAATCAAGTTAATATGATGGTTGAAAAAGTAACCAATTTTTGGGAGCGCCCCGACTGGGACCGTATACGTCCCTAATGAATTGGTCCCGTACTAATTGATTCCAAATTCGTCCCATTGAGATTCTCAAGAAAAACATCAATTTCGATTTCGTCCCATTGAAAACCTGACGAAAAATGTCAATTCCGAGTTCGTCTCGTCACATTAGTCCCCTATTAATTTGTCTTTAAGTAATGATGGTTAAAGAAAATTATATGTATCTTGTTTTATCAATATATAGAAGATGCGTGTACACCATCTCTTGAATGAATTCATAACATACAAGCGTCCATTTTTTTTTAATCAAAAGAAATGAATCGAATTTATTGGATCGATATCATTAATAATTTTAACTGTTACACAGTAATCATATTCTTTGCACATTATGTTACGATTCACCACGTCAGGACGCAATAAACCGGCCTCGAATTACAACAGACACCAATATTCGTTTAAAAAGAAAAGGTGCTACAACAAACACATGGAGGTGCCGTCAAAAAAAATGTTCAAGTACTTTATCATTTACGTATGACAACGTGGTTATCTTTCATACGTCTTCAACTCATTCATATGAAAGTCAACATGCTAGTAAACAAATTACTAATGAAACTGTAGAAAGGATGGAAAACGTGCAAGATAAGAAACAACAACAATTCCAAACATATATACAGAAGAACTGATTCGAACTCGTATTTACAAATTCTTCAATCGTTGCTGGTCTTTCATATCCTGATCTTCGTAGTATTCAACGATCACTTTATGGTCAACGTGCCCTTAGTCTTTCACGATTACCTAGTGATTTCTATAATGTTAAAATTTCTTAAGTAATGATTTCTTTTAATATTATGTGCCTTTGTGCTATTGCTCATATTTCTTTCGATAAAGCATTTGCTAGATGATAATTCAATTGATAAAATGTCTCATGATGTCTCTTAGTTAACTAGTTAGGGACGAAAGCGATGGGACGAATTCGGAATCGACTTTCACGGTTTTCGACCTCACGGGACGAATTCGGAATTGAATTTTAGGGTTTTAGTCTTAATGGTACGAATTCGGATAAATGGGACGTGGGACGAATTCTTATCAATTAAGAATGGTCTCAATCGGGGGCAACCCCAATTTTATTTATTTTGTTTTATTTCTTTTCTTTTCATCATTAATAAAACAATATCAATAGTATAAACTATAGATGGGCTATACTATGCAATCATTTACCAATCATACCTAAAAAATTAATGTCTATCAAATACAGAATATGGGGTCAAACACACTAGAGAAAAGTGAATTAAGTTAAAACTGAATTAAGTAATGTGATTGGTTAATTCAGTTTTAACTTAATTCACTTTTCTCCAGTGTGTTTGACCCCTAAATAACAACATATACCAAATTTTTCAAAAAAAGTCAAAATATAAGTTCTACTTTTGACTGATAGGACTATAGTTTAATATTCAAAAATAAACACTTATTCGCTCGATTTTGGCAAGAGAATGAGAGCAAAAAAGTAAGCAAGAAAATAGAAAAAATTCTGGTCCAGCCGCACAGTAGGCAACAACATGGACATTGGGTGAAAAAATGAAAGTGATGTTTTTCACGATTTGAATAATGTCCAATATACTTTAACCAATTGCCGATTTTTTGATAACCTTTTTTTTTATTTTACCTCTTTAGAACATCGAAAAAAGCTTAGATTCAAAAAATGGCCTGATTTCTGTCATCTTAGAGAAAAGTGTTTTTTTTCAAAGAAAGTAGAATGATTTAAAGAATAAACCATGCAGATTCTGAAAGTAGAGCTCTTGCTCTATCGTTTTATAACAGAGATTTTGCTCTAACAGTCTCTTTGTTAGAAAAGCCATGCGTTGTTTCTTAACCTAGGGCTTTCCAAAAAAGACGAATTCAATGTAGCGAGTGCGGACACTTTAGCACAGCTTCAAAACGCGCGAAATTTTCACATAATGTTTAAATCTGTCTGACACATCTACTCATTTAGCGTAAAGATGCGTAAATGCTCCTGGACTGAGATACAGGTCTTCCAAAAAACCTTAGTTTTCCAGGATTTTCCAGGATTTTTCACGATTTTCTCGGCTCATAAACACTTTTAGATAAAAGTAAGGACAGATTCGGAAACAGCGCGAGAAACTACATCGAATAATGTATAGTTTGTTCGTTTTTCAAAATAAAATTTTTTCCATTAAAATTTATGGTAAGGGTCCCCCTCAGTAATTTTCCGTGAAAAAAAATTTTTTTTGAATTTCATTTTTTCTCATCAATCATTCTTTCCTGGGTGATGGAAACCAATATTTTTACGAAAAGAATACGATTTTGACAGAAAAGAAGTCATGTCCACGTGCTCTGTATAAATTACCCACTGTGAGCCGGTCTGAAAAATTCGTTTCTACCAGCCATTATACTGACCAGTAAGGAATCCTAGACCGGAGCGGACCAGCCGTTTGCCGTTACCGGTTGCAACACTGATTTGCACTGATTGAACAACCGCTTAGGAATGCTGGACAATTTGCTGGGGTTTTCAACAATTTCCCATAAGTTTCGAACAACTACACACTGATTTTGAACCATTACCTAGGCATTCCCAACAACTGCCTATCAATTTCCAACCGTTACCGCGAAATACCCTGCCATCACCCACTAGTTTTGAACAATTACCTTGGAATGTCCAGCAATCAACACGCAATGCTCAGTCATCACCTACTAGTTTTCAACCATTACATTGGAATTCCCAACAACCACCTACCAATTTTCAACCGCTATCGCAGAATGCCCTACCATCACCTACTAGTTTTGAACCATTATCTTGGAGTGTCCAGCAACCAACACGCAATCCTCAGTCATCACCTACTAGTTTTGAGCAATTACCTTGGAATTCCCAACAACCACCTACTAATTTTCAATCGTTATCGCCGAATACCCCACCATCACCTACTAGTTTTGAACCATTACATTGGAGTGTCCGGCAATCAACACGCAATCCTCAGGCATTACCTACTAGTTTTGGACCATTACATTGGAATTACCAACAATCACCTACCAATTTTCAATCGTTATCGCCGAATACCCCAT